GAATTGCAAAACCCGGAGATTTTTGTTGTTGTTGTAACTTGTTGTGCTGTCATCCATTCTTATTGTGAACTCATCCAACAGAATTCCACCATTTTCCAGTAGCAACTCTTGGAATGCGTGGGTTTGGGATGGCTCCACCACGACATAGTCAAAGTCTTTTGTAGTACGATCCACACGCAATAGATCTGCCAATTGTTGTTTCCAGTCAAACTGCCAAAAGGAGCTTTTAGGTGGCGGAACAAGCAGCACAATTATTTGGGCGTCAATACTGTCAGCCGCCTCGTGGGTCAATTCCAGGGCAAGCTGTCCTTCATGGTCTTCCAAGGAGGGCAGTGAGGCAACCAAGATATTCGGTATGATATCTGTTTCTGGCGATTGTGGTTGTTGTTGTATTGGCAATACATTGAAAGATCCTTCGGAAGCAGTAGTATTGGAATAGTCAAAGACAAGGGAGGGATTCTTTGCTTGCCACACTTGTGGGTCAAAGAGTGGCTTGAGGAGGAGAAGGTGGTGATTGTCATGATCGATCGGAGGAAAAGAGGCGTCGAAGTAGTACGGAAGGCCTTGCTGGAACCGGTGGCGATCATTTCGAGAACCCTCGCTTCCGGATAGCTGCTGGTGCTCATTGTTTTGGAATCTGTTGGTTACAGTAGCAAATGTTTCTGCAATCTTGTGGTTGCCATTGTTTGTTATTAATCGAATCATTCCAGTACATGGTTGACAACCACAACAAAGCAAGCACTGGAGTAATATAAGGAGGTGAAACTTGGGCATGGCGATTGGGTTAATTTTGTAAAAAAGGCGAACATGAACTTCAAGTTCAAATTATTTTGTGAGCGTAAACTGAAGCGAGCTGCTCCGCGTCGTCATTGGCACCCGGCAAAGGAACGTTCAGCCTTCTAAACTGACAAGGCCAATCGTATCCCACTTGTGCTTGAAGCAGTACAGTACATGTACGGTTGCATTCGACTTTGGCATGCTCGGGGTTCTTGCGAACGTTCGTGACATCAAAAAGTGACCCCTAACGCTAACCATTTGTTTCGAATAGATTCGACTGACACTCGAATCGATTCGACTCGAATAGATTGTCGAATTATTGTTTGATGACATCCAACACGAAAGAGGCCAAGCATCATCATTTTTCAGCGCTTCCGTACCGGTAGGAGTCAATAAGTCAATTAGTAACAAAGCCGCCAATACAACTCGGTCCTGCATCAGAGTAACCTACTGGTAGCTAGCAATTGCTTGAAAGCTTGTACCGCAAACTCGGGCACTATGAAATCTTTGGAGTTGACTCGTGCTGTCCTGGTATCTTGCTGCCTTCAAAGATCACACAGCCACCGAGCCGCCCTTAGCAAGGCAACAATCACCTCCTTCTTTCTTTCATAATCTGGATCCTCGACTGTTGAAAAGGCACGGGAATCCACTTTGAGAGGAAGTGCAACGCAGAGAAGCATCCCGTAAGAACACGTCCAAACCATACAAAATGGCGACTGACACCAATGGTGCCACCACCGGCAAGAACGTTGTGGAGTATGACGTCTTGATTGTTGGCGGGGGCTTTTCAGGGGTCTCGGCAGCCTATCACTTGCAGAGCACTTGCCCTGGTATCAAGTTCCGCATTCTCGAATCCCGAAAGAATATGGGCGGAACCTGGGATTTGTTCGACTATCCCGGACTTCGCAGCGATTCCGACATGTACACCTTTGGCTTCTCATTTCGGCCTTGGGGAGTCAGAGTCAATCCATTATCGGAACCAAGCAAACCATTCTGGACTATCTCCACACAGTTGTCAAAGAATTTGACCTGCAAAAGCACGTCCAGTTTCAGTGCCAAGTACAAAACGCCGATTGGGACTCCCAACAAGGCAATTGGACCTTGACCACATTGCAAAAACAGAACAATGATGATTCAACGACTACCGTCACTTATCGAGCACGCTATTTGTTTTCTTGTACGGGCTATTATGACTATGAAGAAGGACACACTCCTGAGTTTCCCAACCGAGATGCCTTTCAGGGTCCTATCATTCATCCCCAACATTGGCCCAAAGACTTGGACTACAAAGATAAGAAGATTGTTGTCATTGGCAGTGGAGCCACGGCGGTCACATTGATCCCCTCGTTGACCGAGGGGGCCAATGCGGCCTCACATGTCACCATGTTGCAACGATCTCCGACTTACATGGCCAACCGACCCTCGCGCATGACCATCGTCCCACGATCCCTGCTCTATTGGTTTGGACAAGACGCCGCACGCTGGTTTTACATTTTGTTGGGCATGTTCATGTACTACATTTGCCAGGCATTTCCACGTGCCTTGTCTGAGTTCTTTATTGATGGTGTCGAACATCAAATTGGATCCGACAAATTCAAGGAAGATGATTGGACGCCGCGGTACAAGCCATGGGATCAACGCCTCTGTGCATGCCCCGATGGTGATTTCTTCAAAACCATCAAGTCGGGCAAGGCCAGTGTTGTGACGGATCACATTGTTGAATTCACTGAGAAGGGTGTTCAGACAGAAAAGAACAATGTCTTGCCCGCGGACATTATCATTACGGCTACCGGATTGCAGATTCGTTTCTTTGGAGGCATAAAAATTACCCTGGATCAAATGCCATTGGACATGCCATCAAGATTCATCTACAAGGGATTCATGATGAATGAAGTCCCCAACTTTTTCGTGGCTGGCGGCTACAACAATGCCAGTTGGACACTCAAGATTGATCTGACCATGAAAGCCGCATCGGATCTGATCAAGATCATGGAGACCAAGTTGTATCGGTACTGTCAACCCGAATTGCCCAAGCCAGGAAATGAAATGGAGGCCGTTCCTTCCATCGATTTGACATCGGGATATATTCAACGATCGAAAAATCTCATACCCAGGCAATCCACATTGTATCCTTGGAGGCTTTACCAGAACTACTTGTACGACAGGTACTCGCTCCAATTCAAGAGTCTAGAGGATGACACGCTCAAATTTTACAAGTAGGTCAAAGAAAGCGCAGAAGAGTAGAGATGATAATGTAAGAGAAGATTTATCGAACAAGTTTGGGTTTCGCTGTGTGTCGCGGCCAGCTAGGGTGTTTTGTATACTCTGCCAGCAGCAAGTCAAGGAGGAGCAGCTTCTGGGTTGGTACCAGGATCTGGACCAGGAGTAGGTCAATGGGTTGGTATCCTTGTGGGTACGGTACAGGTTTTTGGTCCAGAAGTAAGTACCAGACCCTGATCTGACTTGGTCCAAACTGTATCATTCAGCAAAAAGTGAGGGTTTTGGAGCAAAAATGAGCGAATGAATCTGGCTCACATCGGTTCTCTAGAGGGGACAATAGCTGCCCGGTTCGGGTTTTCATGCTATCGTTCGGAAGCTTTTGCCTTTCAAAATTTATTCGGTAAAGTCAGTTGCAGCGTTATAAGGCACCTAGACTAGTCATTTGCGAAATCAATGTTTGTCGCGATTCTAATACTAAACAGTTACCACCGACATACAGTCCTCAGAAGGATGCAACAGAGCTCACATATTATTATTATTATTACGCTGAAAGTATCCAGAGATTGCGTTAAGTCTTTTTCGAGCCATGCCCCGCGCTTATTGTCCCTACCCGCCCTTTTGAACCGATGTGAGGAATACTCACTTTTTGCTGCAATTGATAAAAATAAAATCTTCACCGACAAAAGATTCGATTGAATCATTCGCATGAGTTCCAGTGAGATACAGTCAGTAAATGCAACACTTGCAGAGTTCCTTTGAAAACACCACACGCACAACATCACTTGCCAAAAACCTTCCTTCTCTCTGTTTTCTTTCTTCTACCACCATGCCTGACGACACCGAGCAAACTGATCCCACCGTGAAGACACCGTTGCCCCCAGCTGACTACACCAACTGTGCCAGCAACTGTGGCGATGACAATGGCGTCTGCATTCCTCTCCCTCAGAAGCTAGACCTGAACGAGAATAAGAGCAATCATTGCATCAAGACACCCGATGGAGAATGCATCCCGTTGTATTATCCCGATTCTCCCGCCCCACTTCCCCCGGACACTTCTCCCACAGTAGGACTGGAAAAGGCTCGCAAATTGCTAGCAGAATGGCTTGGGACATGTCTGCTAGTCATGGTGGTAGTGGCGTCGGGGATCACAGCCGAGCAATTGAGTGACGATGTCGGTGTCCAACTTTTGATCAATAGTGCTGCAACCGTGGCGGGTCTCTATGGTCTCATTACCATTTTGGGACCAGTCAGTGGCGCTCATTTCAATCCCTGTGTCAGTCTGGTCGATACTCTCTTTCGTGACATGTCTCTGGCCGACTTGATCCTCTACACGGTCTGTCAAATTGGGGGAGGCATTGCGGGCAGCATTGTGGCCAACAGCATGTATGATCACGTTGATATCTTTGCCATATCCACCAAGGAACGATACGGATATCATTTGTGGGTGTCAGAAATCATTGCCACCTGTACCTTGCTGTTGGCGATTCATGGTTGCATCCGAACAGGCAACGAACAATCTGTCCCCGCTGTGGTCAGCATGTGGGTGGGGGGTGGATACTTTTTTACGTCCTCGTCCATTTTTGCCAATCCAGCCGTCACCATTGGACGAATCTTTACTGAAACCTTTGCCGGAATTCAGCCACAATCAGCAGCCGCCTACATACCCTTTCAATTGATTGGGGCTTTGCTTGGATTCATCCTCGTCCAAGTCTTTTATACAAAGCAGTCGTCGTCACCCCATCAAGATGATGTTTTGTATCAAAGAACGTGCATGTTGGTCCATCGTGACTTCTTTGAAAGGAAAACTTATTAATTAATACAATACCTCATTGTAACAAGTGATAGGTTTATGATGCATGAACAGAGACAGGGCCAAGGCGCCTACGGTACGGTGATTGAGCTACTTGTCGGTATGGCTGGCTCTTTTTAAGTGGTTACAGTGCATTAGTGGGTACCGGTAGAGCCTCAAAATAGAGAGGGCGTGAGCAAATGAATCAAGCAGACCGAGGCCTGATGTACGTTGGCAAGAGGCGAGGTGTTTGCCAACTGGCAACCCCAGCATTCTTTTCATTTATAGAGCGATCTTTGTCGACCCTAAATTTTAGTGGTGGTTGACATGTCTCCTGGTGTTTACTTTGGGACCCAGGCAAGCACATTCCATAGAGCTCGCAGAAGTACATGATCAACGTAGGCGACAAGTGGCTTGCCAAAGGTGAACTCGCAAGATAGCGACTTCGCCAAGGAATCCACATACTCGTCCCAAAAAGGGTGAACGTCTCACAACCCCGCACCACACCTCTGTGGCAAAACATGCCGCACCCCTCTATGGGACGCACCTCGGCGGCAACATTCGCTCCGCACCTCAATGGGTCGGGGGCAGAATTCCGCACCTCTACTGCACCCGCCCCTTGGCAAAAATCTGCACCTCCGTGCACGCACCTCAGCGGCAATATTCCGCACCTCTAGAATGCACCTCGGCGGCAAAGATTCAGCACCTCTACAGCGTGCATCTCGGCGAAAATCCGCACCCCTACCGGTATGTCCCATGGGACGCACCTTTGGGGGCAGAATTCCGCACCTCAAAAATAGAGCCATCCTCTCACTCCACCCTTCTTTCTTTGTCTCTGAAATCACTTGGTTTGTTTTGCTAGTGCTTGCTACCAGGTTATGGCAGATTGATCATAGCATATCAAAAGCATGACTTGAACTAGATACAAGCTTAGCTTGCCGTACTCTTAGCAATACGTGCGAGCGCAAATCCTAGGACGGCATTTTCAACACATGGCTTTGCTGACACAGGCATACAGTAGTGTAGACGCCTGCCTTTCTTCCCGTTGCAGTCGCCAACAGGACACCACCCATGAATAAGGGGAGCGCTTGAACCATGGCGAAATCGGCCAACGGGCATTTGGTTCCTGGGCGAAATCGCTGGTTACAATTGTTGACGCGAATGCTTTTCCGATGAATAGATGCAAGGCATGTTTGTTGTTGGCTTGTGCTTGTGGTGAAAACAAATGGCATTCGTCTCACTCTATATATCTCCATCATCTTCTTCGTCGTCGTCACTGTCGTCGTCATCCTCGTCGTCATTGTTTGGATTTGGGAGTGGTGCATCATTACTACTACAAGGTGGCAATTTAAAAGTAGATTGATGATGATATCGTACCGTCAAGCTCGCGAAGCAAGTGTCCATGAGCCGTGCCAGAGCCGCTTCCTCGGTGGGACATTTGAACAATTCATCGAGTCGCCCCTCGTATCCCGTGAATTGACACCCCACCAGAATGCGACTGTCACCAAATGTAGGACTCATGAGTGAATTGACAAAGGATTGTTGTAGATTTCCCACCATGGGTGTGTGCTGCAGAAAGAAAGAGCAATAATAGACAACAGGAGATTAGTTAGTCAAGTCAATATTGATGCTTGTAACAAGCTTGTCGTCTTGTTTGGCATGATAATATGTGGACTGATACGTACCAGCCAGGTATATTCCTTGTAAATATGCGGAGAGAATTCCACCAAATGATACCATGTCCGTCGCAGTAATTCGACACTAAAGTTTCGGTATTCCATCCCTTCGCATTCTCCAATAACGACCACTCCCTCCCGACATGCCAAGAGGTTGGAATGGCACACCATTCCAATGTAATACAGACCACCCAGCCACACCCTCCAGTCATTCGGGTAGTCTACAGCGGCTGGATTCAATTTGGCGTAGTCGTACTGAAAAATAAAGAAAACAAGATGAGATAAGGAGTGATCAAGGTGAGATAATCTTCTGCTAGCTAGATCATTCATCCAACCAACCAACGTACCACTTGAGTAAAGTGCCCATGCTCCTTACAGTACTCCAGGTTGACGACAAACCAGGGCTGCTGGCGTTGCAGAGCTTCCAAGAGGAACATTCCCTCTTCTGCTGAATCGCTTATTCGATACTCTTCTTTGAAATATTGAATCTTTTCCACCCGTTCCAAGGCATCGTCCACATCTCCGTGAGTCACCATGGCCAAATGGGCAAGCTCGTAGTCGGAAACTTCCTTGAGAAACGGTCTACTTTTGTCGCCTTTGTCGTTTTGGCTACTCTTATCGTTGGAATCTTTGATTGCATGTTTGATTGCCCACGCCCATCGGATCTCGGCTTGGGTCAATACCATTGTCTTTTCGTCTAAAAGGGATCCCATGGTGCTCTTGTGCTCTTGTAGTGAGAGGGGGAGATGCGAGGACCTTTGTTTCTTTCTTCTTCGAAGCTTGTGGGTGATTACCGCTGGTGCGTCGAAACGTCCAAGCATTTATTAGACATTGTAGCGCTTGAAAACACGGTGTTTACAGGTACAATCTGAAAGTTAGGGAGTGCCCAAAGAGCTTACTGACAAATACTTGCGAATGACCGACACTCAACGTGAAAATGCGTACTCGAGTACTTTCCACGTACGTTACCATAAAAGTTGGGAATGGCAATTTGGTTGTCCCCCCTTTGGACAGAGCCGAAAGCCATGGTGCCTGCATCAATACATCAAAACCTATTTGTACTTCCAGCAACTACCATGATAGCTACATAGCTAGCAACAACTTTACAGTCCGCACGACTTCGCAACAGATCATTCACCGGACGTTGCGAACGAAACTTGTTTGGCTTGGGCAGAGCAAAGATTGATTTCATGGATTCCTCAAGCGAAGACTGGGCTTTCGTCCCTCTGATAACTTTGGAGAGGAACCTTGCAAACAACATGCAAGACATGGGGATTTTTAAAAGCCGTCTAGCTTTTGAGCGAGTTCCTCCCGATCAGCACTACTGTAGTCAAAGCCTGCCAAAAGGGGGGAAACGTATAAAGCCCGTGCTAAAACTGCTGGGGGCAGACCAACACCGCAGAATGGATCAAGAAGGAGAATCGAATGATCGATTGATCATTCGATTCTCCTTTGTGAACCAGTTGAACGTTCTTCTTGTTCGTCTTCAAAATCCCACGAGCGAGCCTGTACCGGTTCTTGCAATGTGTGACCAAAAACTAACACCGAGCAAACCGTAACCACCACCACCACCATCTCCAGCAGCTTCCCGCTGGATGAATGAATAGTGGAGGAGCAAGACCCAAGCAAGCAAGGGTGAGATTCCGAGACAATACTTCGTGACGCAGAAAGGATCATAAAAATCAACGACAAAACAAACAACACAACAAACAACACAACACAATGATTTCCTCTAATACCATTTCTGTGCTTTTCTTCGCGTTGGCTGCTCTGTCTACATCGGTTCAGGGTAACGGCAACAGTAAACTTGGATATGAATGCTGGCAAGAAATAAGGGCTTTGAACCAAAACCAAGAGCTTGAAGATGCCTTTGATGATCTCCTAGTAGATGATCTGGAAGATGACTATGATGAGAGTTGCAAAGACAAGAAAGTGTGGGACATTGGTTGCTACATGGACTTTAAGAAACATCACGAGGCTTTCGATGTTGCATGTGACAAGGCAGGAGGAAAGATCTATGATCAAAATGTTGGTCTCAATTGCAGCTATACCAAGCTTCTCAAGTTCGATATGGATATCCCATTGGGTAAGATACCCATCTGCCTGGGACAGTCCTGCAACGTCACAGAATTCGTAGCCAGCGATTTGGACAAGAATAGACGTGTGCAAGATTTCCTGGAAGAGCTCTCCTTTGACAACTGTGAAGGGACGTTGGAGTCTGGTGCCATTAGCACCATTATGGGTGGTGCGCTACTAGCTACCATTGCAAGTGTTGGCGTGCTCATGTTGTAGACGCTGGTAGGAACAATAGTAATCATACATATAGAAGAGAAAAGAGATTCCAAGTTCTTTCTACTTCAAAGAAAACCTGTCCTCAAGAACCCATGTAGTTGAGCACAAGTCGCCACGCAGCCCACGACGAATGCGACGAAAGCAACCATCGGTACAACAAACTTGACAAACGGGTGAGTGATCTGAATTCACTGCATAACCGACAAGTTTACAGCGATCATGCCGGGCGCCTTCTTTTTAATTTGACGACCCTTCATGTTGTACCGCAATCCACATCCTTCACAGGATTCGCCAACAAGAGCTAATCTGGACTTAGCCGCACAAGCTCCTTTCTTCCATGCAATTAGCAGCAGAAGCCATCACTTCTGCTTCCACCTGGGACCTCAGAAATCGTGGGGAATCTGTGAGACTGTGCAATACACGGACAACGAACACAGAGATGCAAATTTCCAGGGCAACGTTCTCGCAAACGGATGATGGTGGCACTCTTATTAGTAAACAAAGAGCGATGTAGTATTCATACACTTGGGCCCTTGTCACTTTTGAAATTCCCGCATTCCATAACCAATTTAGCTCACTGCCGGTGTATTCGTACATTGTCGGAAGCATATTGATTAACCAAGCGGTCCTCTACCTATAGTGTTTCTGGAGGAGTGGAAGAACTGCCCTATGTTGCAGAAAGGGGACACAACCAAGACTCCAGAAGCTGCAGAAGAAATCCAGGCATCCGCCATATTGAATTCGAAATCCATGATGCTTCGGCAAGCTTCGTGCTTTTGTGTTGTGCAAGGGCAACAAGGAAAAGTGCAGTCGTCATGCCGTACAGGTCTCGTCGGTGGTCCCATAGTCGTGGGCAAGTAAGTCTCCATCGTGTCACCAGATCTTTTGGAAAACAAGAATTAATTGGATCATCTAGGTCTAGTGTCAAAGCTACTGTAAACCATGTATGTAGTGCTAGTAGCTATCATGCGTTGTATTGCTAGTAGTAGTAGTAGTCTATTAACAGCAGGAGCATTATCCATCATTGGCATGCATGTAGATTGAATCATTCGGGTTCGTCGTCGAGGCAGGTCTCTGGAGGCTCAAAGCATTGCGGTTGTTGCTGCTCGATCGCTGGTTTACTTGTTTTCCTCTTTTCTTTGCTGCGTCAAAAAGTGAATGATTTCAAAACTCCGTTTCTGCAATTCCTGTGCCATATCTTCGTGCGCATTGACGACCAACGTGACAGTAGAAGCATCCAAGCTCTGATGTTTGTAGTTGGTCTCGTACAACGACTGCATGTACGTGTTGAATTGCTCCGTGGTGGTCCCGGCATCGCAGGGTTCTTCGTTAATGTGTGTTATTACGTCACCCTTTCGAATGCCTTGTTGACCGGCACTGCCCTTGACGGACGTGATTTCCAATCCGTACTTGTGTGCCTTGACGTGTAGTGGAACACCCCTCCGGTCGGGATGATAGACGGGAATGACCATCCATCGTGGCATGTGCAATGGCAATGGAAATCGTTTTCGTAACGTCGTCGGATCCATATCGGGATACAACAAATTGGTGCCAGTGGCCAACATGCGATAATTCCGTTTGGCTTGATGATTGTTGTTGCGTGTGGGTGAGGACGTGCTAATGCCGGAAATGTTGAGCGATGAATTTTGTCGTGCCTTGAGACCGCCGTGCAGCATCAATTGGAGCATGCCATGGAGTATCTGTGCGGCTTGCATTAAATTGGGTACCGAGCCACTAACAAGTAGTTTGCTGAGGAACTCTTGTTCGCTGAGGGTCATGGTTTCGTCCATTCCTTGAAACAATGTCGGGTCGACTAAATCGTACATGGCTTGACCACTGCCTAGAATGTGACCCTGTGTTTTGGCCGTTCCGTTTGCCTTGTCGATATCGTCTTGTCGCAGTAGATGTTCCTTCCACTGCCGCGGAAGTAGCGGAATGCGATTGCTAGTGTCAGTAATGGTATCGACTTCGAATCCTTCGTGTGGATTGGATCGATCCTTCAAGTACCGATCAACGCGAGTCCAACTTTCCTGCAAGGATTCCCAAGTGACATATTCTAGGAAATCCTGTTTGGCGCTGAGATCACTAGCTTTGAGAGAATTCTCCTTGAGCGGACTACCGTTCATACTGACGGGTGTGTGGTGATCCGAAAAAAAGAGCGGTTGCAGACGACACGCTCGTCGTAGCAAGAGCACGTCCTGTACGACTTGTCGATGAGGATATCGTGTCCGACATTGTGGACATTGCAGTGGAACCTTGAGTTGTTTGCTGCCATCACTGGCTTCTTGGTAGGGTTGACTGCTGGTGAGTAGCAGACTCCACACACACTGAGAGCAGTAGTTAAAGGGACAACCATCCAATGGACACAGCATTGGGATTTTGTGGTCACTGTCGTGCATCGCTTCCAAACACAGCATGCAATCTTCTACCACTTCTTCTTCCTCGGGTTCTTCTTCGGCGGCTGCTTCTGTCTGCTTATTTTTGGGACTCTCGCCCATCAGTCTCGACGAGGTCCTCTTCATTATTGCGGTCAGCTTCATGATTGATGGATTCAGATACGATGTGTGGTACGTCTAGCTAGCTAGCCTTCTACTACAACTACTACTACAAGTGGGATGATTTTGGCGGCGGTGTTGTAGCCCAGCCGCTTATTCATGTCATGGTCCAGAATGCAAATCCAGCCAGGTTGCTTCGGATCTGAACGCCTTTCTCCCAACGGCATTGGAAATTGCCGCACGCCGTGGATCCATTGCCGTTGAGGGTCGCGAGCTCAGTCATTCGTGAGATTTATTTAATCTCGAAATGGGTTGATTTTTGGCTCGAACTTCATTCCAATGACAATAAAAGGTTGGCAGAAGCCTCTCCAAACTTTTGAGCTGTCGAAGAGAGCAGAGTGCGAGTCTTACTTATTAGTTAGATGAGACTTCAAAAGCTTGGGAACCAAGCAGAAGAAGAAGAAATCTACCAGGGCGAATGATTCGGATCTTTGACAGATGTCTCTAATGGTGGGCCTTTCTTTTAAAGAGGAGGCAACTTCAAGATTTGCACATTCGTCCTTACATTTCGTCTCTTCTCAGTACGGCAAATGAATCATCCAAGCCCCCGGGAAACCGGCGGGTCGACCATGGTATCCGGCTCTGGTTGGTACCGGTATGTAGGAATGACTACCCACCCTCAACTTATTCAGTGGAGCACCAACACAGCGAATCATTCGAATCCTCCGACGCCTCGACGAAAGCGCAAGGCTACTGGCTGAGCCTCCCGATGAACTGAGTATTCTTCACCTCCCTAAGGTAAGAAGGGTCCTCTGGCTGTGGGGCTTTGAAGGGACACGAGAAGCGCGGTGGGGCTGTTCGAAGGCGAGGGAAATGAGATGCTAGCTACTAGCTATTAGTTAGAGTACGAAACCGACCAGTGCAAGTCCTTGGCGCATTTGATATAAGCCGGTGAGAGCTGTTGACATAACTTCTCACTTCCCCCTTCCCTCCCGACCAAAAAGCATTCAGAACTCAACAACCAACAACCCGACTTCCATCTCTCTCTGAGCCTCTGCGATCGATCAAAACAAGCAGTGGCAGCTTTTGTGATTATTATGCCATCATCGCCTGTAATCAACATCCCCTCTATTGATGGAGCTGCCATTCGTCGTAGGCTTGACAGGGCCTATCGTGCTCCTTCCCACAAATACGGGAAGGAACCGCCTGATCCTGACGTCGGGCTCATGACAATTGAAGTTAGATTCTTTCCTCATCATTCCTGCGCTGTAATGAAGGTACTTCTCACGATACCAGAAAGAATCACAGTGGGAGAGCTAAAACAGCAAGTATTGGAGCAGGCAGCTATTGAGCCAGAAATCAGACAAAAAATGAACAACCAGAACGCACACTTACGACTCTTTCTCGATGACGGTAAAGAGGAAGAGCTCGTTCCCAGCAGTTCTCTGCTTATTGAAGATCATGGTTTTCGCACTGCTTCCCATCTGATGGGGAGAAGAAAGGATCGAGCTTATCTTCTCCTGATTGCAGAATACATCCTAGATATACACGTAACCAGATATCCTGAGGCTAGTCGACAACATCTTGCGACTAATAATTTATCACAAGAAGACGAGGTTTGCAGCTCTGGTGGTGAATTTGGACTTGGCTGTGTGGTTAGGGTGCCTATTACTGGTGTTTACGGTCTTAACAGATTGCACCACATCAAAGAGATGATCAGTCTGGAAACCAATATGCCAACCAGCCGTCTGCGAATCTACCGCAAGGGTCAAGAAAACGCAGACACCGTCACAATGTATGTTCCGTTGAATGCAAATCGCGAACAATGGTACACAATGTGGGTGAATGATTGGGAGATATCTGTTCGAACACTACAGGGTACTGTGTTCCTTTTGGGAGTAGACTCTGACCAAACTGTTGAAGATCTTCAAAAGCAAATTGCCAAAAAGGCCAGCATTCAAGAACAGGACCATGTTCTCATTTTGAGTGATGGGAAGATGCTGGGAAATGAGCAGCTAAGCTGGGCTCTGGAAAGGTGTGGAGTGACAAATCATAGTACGGTATATGTTGTCTTGAAGCAATACATCCCATTGTCCTCAGAGGTTGTTGATGGTAAACAAACTGGCTGCACCATTCCAAGGCAGAACACCGTGGAATCACCCTGGGACAGTTGCGAAAGGTCGCAGCCGTGATCCTGACACAATGCATACCACAAGGATGGACTAGCACCAACCCATCCCACAACAACCGACAACTACAGCCAGAGGAAGTAACTCTCTATGATCTCATGAAGCACTACATCATGCCAGATCAAGGCAACGCAAATGCAGCTATGTGGAGCTCGTTGCAAGCTCAGAACAGGACCAGATTCCAAGTCAAATGGTTTCTCACTGGTGGGGCGAGAGCTGTCTACAGTTTGTTTCCTGCCTTGAGAGACATGCCCTAGACCGCAATCTGCCCGATTCCAACTCCTACTGGATTTGCGCCTACGGTATAAACCAACACAGTCTATCCAGAGAGCTACAAGGGCACAATCCTTTTGCGTTTCCCTTCTACAAGGTTATGAATGCCACAAATGGAACGGTGTCTGTACTGGATAGCAACTCAATCATCTTTTCCCGGATATGGTGTACTTTTGAGACGTCTTTGGTGATGAAGATCAAGGAAACAAGGGAAAATTACTCTTACGACGTTTATACCGTGCCAATTGGAGAAGGTGGTCGTGCTGGTTTCCCGGTTGGCATCACAGATGGCATTGTTGCCGCAGACAGACATGCTCTCAGGCCTGATGGATCTCTTGATCTCAACAGACTTCTGGAGGCACAGGAATGGAATGCTTCCAAGTCCAAACGCCAATCCTCATTTCCCCTAGAGACATGCCATAAAGCACTGTCCATGGAGTTGGAGAAAGCCAATGCTTCCGTAGAAAAGGACAAAACATGTCCTCAACAGCATCATTGGGAATAATGACTTCACAGCGGAAACACCAAAGAATCATCCTGCGTTTGAGAAACTCAATGCCATGCTTCGAGGGAAATTTGCACAGTCGCTCTACCGGACTGCACTTGAGCAAGGGGATGAGAGGTTGGAACGCTTTCGGCAAACTTTGTGGCAGTCCAATCGAACCACAGAAGGCATTGGCCCTGCCCTCTCAAATAATCTGCTGTCACTGAGAAGCCTTGTGTTGGATTTCCAAGGGTGCAGCAAGATTCTGTCTATTGATGAAATACTCTGCAGCAGCCATTGAAGCAGCAGACTTCCATGCTTTGGAACATAGAGCTCAACGTTGCTGCTGGCCCAAGTGGATATTCTGCTTTAGAAGTTGCCAATCTGAGATTGAATCTCCCAATCACATGCCAAAGCTGAAGTCCTTGGATCTCAACTTTGTCAACTTCCCGGGTATAGTGTCAGTGTCGGGGTTTTTGAATGTGCTAGAGTACATGAAAGGGTGGGAGTTTGAGGTGCTGACGTTAGTATTCTTGGGCACATCATTGGATGAGGAGAGTTCGTGGGAGGTCTGCAACACTCTATCCAACAAACACATCCAAGTGTCGGCTCTAAAACTGCAATTTCCAGGAAACATGAGCATCACGTCTATGCAGGCACTGGAGCAACACCTAGCCAACAGAACGCCAAGTCACTCCATCCATGATAAAACGCCAACAAGGGAAAGCATACACGATAAGCTACGTCAACAAGAAGGGCAGAAGAACCCCATTTGTCGAGAAGAATCAGTGAGCGGACCAGATGATTTCTTACTTGACCACCTCAGATCAAAGCGCCAATCTGCAGCCAAGAGCGGGCAAGATCTGGACAGCAATGTTACCAGCGAGAAGAAGCCAACTTTGTTTGACAAACTGCAATCACAGGAACTCACGGCAAAACCACAGGACAAGTTGGCAGAAGACTATTTGGTGGAACGATTGAAACAAAACCAAGCTGGAGGAAAACGGCGAAGGGAAAAAAACAGGATCCACATGACCTGTGCCGCAAGGAGTGACAGTCACAGTAGCAGAAAAGAGGATTGTCAAGAAACAAGCTAAAGAAGAAAGGCTGCCCTGGTTTGATTGAATCAATCAATGCAAGAGTCGAGTCTGCTGGTGGCAATCATCAGGCCACTTCTTGGGCGAGGACAGCTTCTATTTGTAGAGACGTGCAAAGTCTGTCTTAGCTTCGCTTGAGAATGACCGCGGACCTGGCGCCTCACGCAAAAGGAGGATTGAATCACCCTTCGGTACATCGGCCATCATCATGGTGTGCAAGCGACGACAAAGTTTGGACCAGTTTTGGCACAGGCCAGCGGCCCAATGATGTGGCCACGTCCGACCTTGCTCCATATGGCGACGTAATCCCTCCGTCATCCGAAGTTCGGCGCGTACGCGGGCGAATGGCGAAGTACCCCATGTCGAATTATATTCCATTGGTTGCTGTCTTGAGTATGTCAGCGATGCCCGGGTCAGTTGAAAGCTACTCGAGCTCTTTCGAAGCCAAATGCTTAATTATCCATTTCCGTTGTGACATCGTAACCTTCTTGGGCAATGCTAGGGGAACGGATAAATCGAGCTTCACAGTTTCAAACAGACGAGATTGACATTCCAAAAGTCGTCCGCCCAAATCCCTTCGGAAGGAATCATGCCGCAGTGTGTTCGTCGACGGTGTGGTTGCAAACATGGCGAGCATTTCCGAGCTAAGGGAAGTACTTTCCTCTTCTTCAGAAACAAGCTCGCGTAATCCGCATCGAAGAAAAAGCAGGGGATCCGACGCGAGTTCTCTCGAGCGTAGCGAGGCTTGGCTTGAGACTACGGCACGATTTGACTCCAGTGTGGAGGACAGACCAGTTCCTCGTAATAGTTACCGTAGGACAACACCATACAAATTAAATTGTAGTTTTCGGCTTTCGTTGTTCGAACAGATGGGAAATGGATCCCTCCTTTCAATTTCAGTCAGACCCTACCCATCTATCCATTCCATCCATTCCAGGATGAATAGTGTCATAGAATCACAAATCCAGATTCGTGATTGATGCAACTGCATCCTTCCTTCCTAGCTAGGCCCCTTGTGGGTTCCATAGATCATACTAGCTTTCAATCAGACATTGGGTACACCGTAGCACACATACATGTTGGCAGTTATGCGTGTGAAGTACCGTGGAACCCTTCGTGGATGTCTCAATCGACTCATCCGACTCGACTCATTTCAAATTCCGCCTGGTGCAACCGTAAAAAACCCGTCGTGCCAATGAAACTCTACTACCAGGTACCGGTAGTGGTGAAACTGTCGCGGATATCGTTCAATTCTTCTCCAAGTTTCTCGTCGACCATGATGACAACCCAACAATTGCCGCTGTTCAGGAGAGTCCAATGGCTGCTACTGGTACTTGTAGTAGCGGCTCCTCCAGTGTCCCTTGCTGGAGAGTCTGTCACAGGGACGACTCCAAAACAGAAAAGACACTGGAGTGAATATGAAGACCTTGGTGCTGACTTGGAGCCTCATCCGGATCCCAATGAAGAGCACTATGAAGGAATGATCTATGTCGGACGATGGGAACACACAGAGGCTCATCACAAGACCGTCGTGGATACGGCCATTGATCCCAACAGCAAGCGCATTGGATTTGATCGCGACAATGCCGTCAAGTACCTTTTTGGAACTTCCTTTGACGAAACACACAAGCAGGTAGAAGAGCGAGATTTGCACCCCGAAGATCATCATATGTTCAATCATGATGGCGATGTCCCTGATCGAGCTCATGAAACCAAGTCCCGAGCCGAGGTATTGAAAGAGCGTCGTCACAAGGGCATTTCCGAACAGGGTCCAAAACCCTATGGACACATTGACGCACACCCTCTGGATGGCGGTGCTGTACCACCCAAAGTGGTCCGAGTGGAACCCTTCTTTTTGGACGCCACTCCCGTCACCAATGCGCAATTTGGAAAGTTCGTCCGAGCCACCTACTATGAGACGGAAGCCGAACAGTTTGGCTGGTCGTTTGTCTTGCAGAGCTTTTTGAATCCCAACTATGAACCCACCGACACGACAACCGACATTCATGTAGACCCCGAAGCACCCGATTGGGTGGCAGTTCAAGGCGCCTATTGGAGGCGGCCGGAAGGACCCAAATCCACTTACAAACTGCGAGAAGACCACCCCGTGGTGCATGTCAGTCATCGGGATGCCGCCGAATATTGCAAATGGAAAGGAAAGCGATTGCCAGGAGAATGGGAGTGGGAAGCTGCAGCCCGTGCGGGTCACTGGGGCCCCAAAAATCGAACACTCTATTCCTGGGGAGAAGATGATACCTACGAGGTTGCCAAAAAGTATGCCAACTTGTGGGGCGAAGGAACCTTTCCCACAGTCAACCTGGCTGAAGATGGATGGCGAGGAACGTCTCCCGTCCAGCAATATCCACCCAATCCCATGGGTTTCCATGACATGACGGGAAACGTCTGGGAGTGGATGCGTGGTGGAAAATCGGTACGTACGGTCGTTCTGTTGTACAATCTCCAGTTCCAGTTTTTGGAATACTAGTACTCACAAAATCGCCCTCGTATCAATATCATATGTGTACAAAAGAAATCCCGAATTGTTCGAGGAGGCAGTTATGTGGATAGTTTGGATGGAAGCGTCAACCATGCAGCTACGTTGGGTGCCCGTGACACGGTTCATGGAACCACCACCACCGGCAATATTGGGTTTCGTTGTGCCAAGGCCCCCAAGCGACGAACCGAGTATCACTACGTTTGGCACGACGAAGAGCAGCATGGTACTTTGGCCGTCGAAGATCGATTTGGAAGGAGAGATCAGGTCCCCATGCGGGGCTGGGAAGATCAATTCGAGGTGATTCACGATGAGGAAGACGAAGACGATTTGGAGGACAACAGCAAACCCAAACGGAAAAAGGTCATCAAAAAGCGAGAACGACTCATGTCCGAGTTGTAGGAAACAACAAAGGAGACGAGAGCTCCCACTCGATAGTTAATGATGTCAAACAGCAAGTGCAGGAACAGTCTAGCTTAGTCATATTACAGATCTAGTAAAGCAACCCACCAAGCTTCCCTAGTTATTGACAGTTCCATTTCCACAAGTCTCCCTATACGTGCCCAGTAGACCCCGCAATTCAAAGGAAGGCTGATCCGGCCTCGGATGTAGCCTCCATTTGATTGATGCGGGACGTGACAGCGCTGGATGAGAGAGAGATAAAACAAACATAGTGTACGGTATTTTCCACCTCCCCGTAGACCAGCACACACGGTACTCTTCCCTGCTTGGCTATTTGGTACTGGCATGACTCCATTTGGCTGGATTCTCTCGCAACAATCCAAAACTAATGTTGAAAACCTCCAGAGATGTGGTAGGGTGTTTGTTGCCCTCCCCGTCAAAGTAGATAGCGTTTTCTTCAAGGTTTACCAGCAGATCTACAAACTCATCTTTGGTAGTTTCTGGGTCTTGTGCCTTTTTGCGTCCACACCAATTGAGGGCAACACAAAAAGGCAGCAAGTGTTCGCTTGGAAGACTATGGCTGCAGAGATTTCCCAATGGCTTCTTGTCAGTGCAACCATCACTAAAGCTGGCAAAACCCAGCGTCGAGTTGGATCTTCGGAGAATGTCCACCAAGGCAACCTGGAATCTTTTGAATTTGTCTGGCCGGATAGCATCTTGAAAGTAGTCAAATTGTATGAGATTGTGATTGCTCTCCAATGCCTTGAGAATCGGATCCAGTACTGCGGAAGCCATGTCACTTCTTGCGTGAATCCTCAAAATCTTCAACATAGAATTGCCGGTGAGGTGACGACAGATGGTGGGAATGGCAGCACCAGCGGTGGTGTCGTCGTCACGTAGCATCAAGTGCAGTTCCTTCAGGTTGGGCATGTAACCGAGGCATTGGTCCAGGAAGTCAACCGCCATTCGATTACTTGGACAAAGGTCAACATGCACCAGACGGATTCTGGATTTTGACATTGCCAGCTTCACTGCATCTTCGTTGAAACAGCTTGATCCCCCCTGTTGGCAGCCTCGCCAGAGTCCTGGGAACCTCAGTTTCAGAACCTCAACACTTTGGTTAGAAAGAACTCTGTTCACAAAAGTAAAAAACGCATCCAATTCCCATTCATCACACCAGCTAGAAACAGTTTCGGTAGTCTCGCTGTCCAGCACCGGTGCCATGCCCAAGACAGTCGCCAAATCCAAGGCCGTCCGCTTTCTGATCAAGTTCTCCAAGCCAACAACGGATGGAAAGACTGTGGTCAAATCAACGATTGTACTCATTGGTATCGTGAATACTTTCGTCTTGCGCCACACAATTTGAAAGAGACGCTGGATCAGCTGTGGACTGTATCGCCAGTTCAGGACCAAGCCGACACAAGGTGGCATTTGATAGTCTGGAGCTTTTGGCGCCAGTGCCTCCGGATTGATTTGGGCCAGTGTGATAATGTCATCATCAGTGGGTCGATTGGCACCTGGTCCCTGCATTACTGCAAATGCAAGTGTGCTTGCATCCACAAAGTCGGGCCTTTTGGTAGCCAGAAAAGCAACCACTCCCGGTGCAGCACCGTGTTTGAGAACATGGTTGAACAGCTGTTTGGTCAAAGCTGCCGGGTGGGATTTGTAGATGGATGTGACTCTCCCCAAGTTGGCCTTGGCAATCAACACTGTCTCCAATGTCTTTCGTTTGGGCGCCATGGCTTTGGTTGTAGTGGTTGCAATGGGTATAAGTTTGCAATGGGTATAAGTCATGTACTATAATAGTAATGGATCCAACCGCTGAATGTGAGCTTCGAACTGTCAGCTCACCGGGAATGGGGATGATCCGTAATAGCTTCCGTAATAATGATTTGGGGAGGAGATTTGGTATTCACACCCAAACCGATGTCGTCCTATTAAAAATACTCCCGTACAAGCTCACATACATGTACTACTACACCGTAGCAGAGAGCAGAGCACAAGCACCATGGAAAGTGGGAAAATCGAAAGCGAGCTGATGAAAGTGGAGCTTTAAAAGTGCACAGAAAGTGCCGAGAAATAAGTGCACCAAGACTCTTCAATCGTCCTCTAAATCATGTTTATTTGTTAAATCGTCCGTTGTAATGGACGATTTAAAGGACGATTCAGCTTAGGAAAGATTTAGAAGCATGGGTACCATTTCAAAAAGTCTCTGTTTTTCCCTCTAGTCCAAAGTAGCCCTTTAAATCCAGTAAGGAAACTGTCCTTTAAATCGTGGCATCGAATTCAACTGCAGACCGTACCTTTAAACCTGGTATCACCAAAAACATTACTGTACTCAGTACTATGCATACCGTACATGTCTACCTACACATGGAGTTACTCGAGTACCGGTATGGTACTGAGTGGATCGATCTACATGTACTCGGGATCTTGCCTTCACAAAGGCTACCGGTACAGTACCGGTACCCTGCAATTCTTGCCCCAGTCGTGGATTTGGATGGTGGATTTCATGGTCTCTGATGGCACCGGTACTTCCCTACCCCATACATCGTGCATCAAAGTCTACATGTACCGTACTGGTACAACAAACCTCCTATTTGGATGGTGGATTTCATGGTCTGATTGCAGCCGTCCTTACCGGTACTTCCCCCTTCCCCGTGCACCGTGAATCAAAGTCTACCGTACTCTGTCCCATTGGTACAACCTGCTGTTCCCCGTGCACCGTGAATCAAAGTCTACCGTACTCTGTCCCATTGGTACAAACCTGCTGTTCCCCGTGCATCAAAGTCTACCGTACTCTGTCCCATTGGTACAAACCTGCTGTCTGTGCCTACAGTAATGCTCCAAGAGCTATTTATCGAGAGGGAAAACGAATCAAGCTTGGAGGGCACATCATCCCCTCCTTCGTTGCTTTCAGGATCCTGTTTATCATGCATCAACAACCCAGCTTCCAACTACATGTAGCTAGCCACGTGTAGTAGTAGGGGTATCTAACTGCAACGATGCTTCCATCATACTTTTTATTTGCAAGGGGGTTGGTTTTAGGGTAGGGAGTCTATTTTAGAGCCACTTAAGATAGCCAAATTCGTCAAAGATAGAGGACCCAAACATTGCATCAGTGCTACATTGTGTGAAACTGCCGCGAATTGTGCCCCCAAGGTGTTGTACAAGCGACATTACCGAACCTTGCGGAGTCATAATCAGAAGACCCAGATAGGCGTATTCCAACCGGTTGCCCTCTCCAGCCAGAGAGTGATATACATGTCCCCAATGATGCATCTGTACAGTCCACACAGAGTGGCGACCAAATTATTGCCAAGGTGTGCAGAAGCGCCCAGTCAGTGCCGTTCGAGGAGTACGGTAGGTTGTTGCAAGCCCAATGTTGTTGACAGTGAATAAAAAAGAGGAGCCAACTGCTGACAGAGAGGTGGTTGCAAAGAGGCAGTACAATTGAGGGTATTGGGCGTGGACCCCAACACTTTCAATTGTGCTGGCTCTTTGCGACCACCTCTCTGCGCTTTTGTCTGTCGTATTGGAACACATCAACAAAATCAGGGAAGATGGGGGTACTGAAAGCAACAATGCTGCCGTCTCTTGGTGTTGCAACTGTACCAAAGCCAAGAAAAGACACATTTTCTTGCATTTACTTAGGTACAGTTGCAATATCAAGAGAGGGCAGTGTTCTCTTCGTAGACACGAACACGAACAATGCCAGTTCCTCTTTGACATGTGTACCACTGTTGTTGTCCCCATCTCGGTAATGCCCACAGAGTAACAGTACCGTACGTTTATTAGAAGCCAAATGCACGAAAAGCTGTCAAGTCTTGTCCTTTCTGCGTGGGTCTATCATCCATTGGCAGCGTTCTCATGGCAGGAACAGTGCCATTTCCTCTTTGACAAACCACTTCAAAGAGGAACCCGCACTGTTCGTGTCTATGAGGACGCTGCCTAGAATGGACTCAGAAAGGACAAGACTTGGCAGGATTTCCTCCAAATCTGACTGACATATTATTATGCCGCTGATAGATGGGACCCAACCAACGAACTAGCTGCATTGTTACATACATGTTTGCAGCATTCAAGCCAATCATCTCCAAGAATTGAACCTCAGGAAAATGCCGGTGAATCTCATCCTTGCAAATGATTGACTTGAAAGCTGTGAAGCCTGTGAACGTGAATTCAATCTTCTAAAGGAGAATGGGAACACTGAAATGAAGTACCTGGTACTCAGTAATTATGAACGCTTTAGCTATCGGAGAAGATAATGCCCTGCAATTCAATCGAGGATAAGTTTGCGACGTGTTTTCAGCGAGGTCAGCACAAGCCTGGATTTGTGGAGATACTAGTATCATAAAAGCGGTTGTTGTTGCTCAGCTGGGAGCAGAGCCAGGTGGTCAATGACTGAAAACATTTCAAGGTGCTCCATTCCGAACGTCATCTCCAGCCTCTGTATTTGAGGTGGATGCGGTAAACCTTAACCCAAATATATACCTAAGCTCCCGGTATAGCTGCTGTCTTCTTGGGGTTCGCATAGAATCCGGAGATGCAGTTGCGTCTTTTTGGTGTGCATGAAGAGGCAAAACAAACTTCATTGCTTCGGGATCATATCAACAATCCACTGATACCTCCCAGTTACTAGTAGCAGCTAGTAGTACCGTAGGGGTATCTATCAAAAGAATTATCTATATTAAAGACAATGATGGTCGACTCTATGTATAGTAAATTGGCATTAATCTTTTTGGGACTACTGCTGGCGGCAGTGCACGGTATGACCGAGACGCATCGAGTGGAAGAACATTTGAAGCGCTATGGTGGAGACTGGCCTCCGGAGTACATTCCCAACACTCCTGGCTGGAAGAGACAAATGGATAAGCGATTCAAGCAAGTACTGGAAATGGACAACCGTCACAAGAAATACGATGGTTGGATGCAGACGGTCAACATGGCCTTTTTGGCACCCAATTTTACCGAATATGGAATGGGGTTGGTGCGGGCACCCGAGGATTTGACCCTAACGTTGCAGCACGAGATTCGAACGGCCATTAAAGATGGCAAGACGCGGAAAGAACATTCCATTGATGCCATTGGAGGTCCCAATGGATGTGATTTTGTCGATCGGCCGGATCTAACACAACGAGTGAGTTGTTTTCAAATACTGATGTTTCTTTTTGATTATAATATCGGAGGATGCCTTCAAAATGGTGGAGCTCACTTTTGTATCTCTCAAACTTTTATATCTCTCAAACCTTTTGATCAATAATTATTGGAATGACAGGTCGTCACAGAGCTTCAGCCGTACACAGAGGCGTGGGTGGGTATGCCGTTGCACCCAGTGCTTGCCTATGGATTCCGGCTGTATCTTAACGAAAGTGATCTAAACATGCATGTAGGTAAGTACATGTAAAACTGGAAGGTCTTTCAGAGAAATTTGGTTACGAGAAATTTGTTTCCTTTTTGGGTTTTGGTTTGGTTCTCATTCATCCATTCACCCCCATGTTGGTTCCCACACAACGATACCATCAGACAAAGCTCAAACCCACATTATATCCATGATCTATCACATTGACCGATCAGAGGATTCACAGCCGTGGCCGGTTCTTATCGAGGTACGATAGAAGGGTCGACAAAAAAGAACTTAAAAACAATCTGCAGGGTCTCAAACACAATCTGCAGGGTCTCAAACAGACTTCTTTCTGACATGACAATCTATCTATCTACATGTATATATTCAGGACTTTAAGGGCAATACCCACGAGATTGAGCTGCAACCTGGAGGTGAGCACGTGCGAATGATCGATCGATGAAATTTGGGACAAAGTTGTGGAAATTTGAGAAAAGCTCACTCATACATACGTGCTCATGATGTTGGGATTATTCATCTCCCCCTTCTCCGACTGACAAATGAAAATGAAATGCACAATATATACCAGACATTCTCTTTTACGAGAGCTCCAAATGCCTACATGGACGGCCGTCAAAATACTACGGAAGCTGGTATACATCCGTATTTGTTCATTATTATCCCACCAATGGATGGATGGATACCGACCACAACATGGAGTGTCATTATGCCATCCCCCCTTGGTGGGACACGGAGGTCCCTCCCCAGGACAAGACGCAAGAACCGCTGGATATCCTAGGAACCAGTTTCAAGGAACACAACTGTCCCAATGAATGGTGCAATTCACAAAACACAGTCAAATGGAGCGCAAGCTTGCTTTGCCACACAAGACCCTCAGGAAAATCAACTGGAAGGCATCGAACCAGGCCCTCAGACGCATGCCCAAAGGAAAACGACGCTGGCTAACCAAACACACCACTGGTTTCTCCATTTGACTGTGTTTAAATTATTAATTACACTTTCCCGAAGGTATTATGTTCTAAGTTTAGTATTTGAAAACGGTATATGCAAGCTCTTGCTAGGGCTTGCCTTTAACATGTTTGTGGGTATAGAAAATGATATATGAGATGCATCTTGACATGGAAGTGTTTGTGTTTTCTGTGGGTGCTATATGGCGCCCTTTTTTGTTGTTTGTAGGTTGTTGGTTCAGTTAGCTGTGTGGACCTCTAATGATCCAGTTTTCCATCAGTTTACGTTCGTAGTTCTGATACATTGCGAGGTTGGACTTGTCTGCCGCCGCTGCAGAACCGGGCGTTCTCCACACTAGTCTAGCCATTGTTGTTTGTTTGTAGTGGCTGCTCCATAATGGAGTCGAAGCCATGTTCGGAATAGGGGTCTGTATTCCGGGCGCAGGCTAGCGTCGCCTAGAGACCATTGGAACCATTATTTCTTCGTTGAGGGTAATTCGGAGGTGTGGGTCGAAGGCTGGATGTGGGTCATTGTGTTTGATTATGATTGCGGTGGTCCCTCATGTCCCAGGAAATATCAAGAAGTTTTCGTATGACTGCAGGGTTCCAGCGGAAACCATTGCGGATTGCCTAGGGATTTGTAGTGGTGGCTTCTTGCAATTGGGTGAACCGGTGGCTGATGCGTCCGGCAATAGGTTTACCATCCTATCTCAGTCTGTTCAGTGAGTGCAGCTCTGACGTCGGCACGGAGAGGTCCCAGGCGTGGAGGGCCCTCTTTCCCCAAGCCTGGAGATGTTCTATGATGCCGTAACCGAAGTGATTGATTTGTGCCAAGTTTGCGAAGTGTGCTTGTCTAAGGAGACCAATGCCTCAGCCAGGTAAGTCGTGCACCCCGGCTAGGAAACAGCAGAACATGCTTAGGTGGTTTCATCATCTTGGGCACAACGTGGGCAGCGGGAGTGGTCCAAAATCTTCCGAATGTGCATTGATCGTCCGACTCCAC